TTGTAGTACTTCATCAGAGTCTTGAATACGGGTCTCGGATAGACAGCAAACATCAATATTAAGAGTTTCCAAAGACATAGCCAGCCCTATCTGTTGTCCGACCTGCATAAATGTGCGAACGTTGAAGGCAGCCAGTTTGAATGGTGCACGTGGTTTCAGAAAAACTGCTTCATTACTAATATTCAGTGGTAACACACAATTTTCAACCGGACAGTGACTCGAGAATGTTTAGATAGAGTCAAATTTCCACCATGGACGAGCTGCTGTATAAGTCGAAAAAAATAAGTATAGACAGAGTAGAAATAAAGGAGGGTGAATAATGACGTAGTAAATAATAATAATAATAGCAATAATAATAATTGAATCATTTGAATATGTAACAGCTCAGGTTGGTTGGTTAAGAGTTGACCCCAAACAACCAAGCATATGCCAAAACAGTATTGTTCAAGTATTCATTCACTTCCTTATTTTTTATAAGCGTTATATTCCCTATTATCTTATATTGAATGTTGAGAGCCTTTGATTGTCTGAACAGATAACCTCACGCTCGATTGTGACTGTGCGAAGATCGAAATAAAGGCCTATTCACTACTCTGGTTTCTTCTATCAATAGCACGAGGGTTACCTTAAGGCATGAAACTGGTGAGCCCGACGTGATATTGATAGAAGAAACCAGAGAAGTAGTGAATAGGTCTTTATTTCGATCTTCGCGCAGTCACAGTCGAAGCAAGTGAATTATATTCCATGATCATAGACAGTTCAGTTCATTAATTTTGTGTGGGCTGTGATACTGTCCGGGTACCCAGACCGAAGCGCGTGGTTTTCTTAGGGGGCCACACCTCGAGCCTTGTCTTTACAAAGTAATAATATCGACATCTGCTGTCTATCCGAGACCTATATTCAAGATCCGTGAAATATTACAAATTCGCTCTCCATCTGTCGTTCAGAAAAGCTTGCTTTACGTGCGTTTATCGGAGGACCCTGTCATATCTTCGTCTGGTTTTGTTGGTGTTGCACCAAGTTCTAGATCTGGGACATCACTGATCGTTTGGATCCTCACTGACAGTCGGTTACGTGCAGTTAGAATCGAGAGCTCCATCAAAGTTCTAAGAAATCGGTGCGAGAAACGATGTCTTTTCGTCATCTCCAGCAGATCACAGCCCGGATGCGATGAAGGATGAGTTTGGTCACCAATTAACAGTTCTACAGAAAGTGCGAACGACAGTTATTGTAGTATTAGCCGGAGACCTGAATTTATATGTCGGTAATTTAGGCGACTGATGGGAACTTGTTGGTCTCATTTTTTATAACTGTGACTGTCTACTGCAACTCTGAGCAAACTGTAATCTCTTCCTGGCTAGCATTAACTGCCAGCACGGTCATCGCCGGTCTACCACCTGGCATCCTCTTCATCTCAGGCCTGGACTCAGATCGATCACATGACGATCAGCTAACGTTGATGTGATTGTGCGCAAGACTGGTGCTTTCTTGAGTACTTATCTGGAATCTGATTTTGTTCTTGTTTGAGCCACTCTCACCTTACGTTCCAGTGGCCAACAAATTCATAGTCGTAAACGGATAAATGTCAGCAAATTGGTTTCAGCTTCTGTTGAAAATAAATATGAAACTGAGCTAGTTTCAGGACCGGCTGCTATTCCACCGAAAATTGTAGATGAGCATTGGTTGCAATTGAATGACGGCATGAAGGTGAGGAGTAAAGTCGCGCATGGCCTTGTGAAATGTCCCGCTTATAAGCGTTGGGTTTCTTCAGGCTCCTTACAATTCGTTGTATCACGTCGGTCTACTCCGCGTGACCACAACTTTGACTATTAACGGGGATTGCCACTCAGTGTAATTGTGCTGAGCTCGCATAAGCACCGAGAAACCTGTTGGTTGGAGCGTACCGACAAGTTAGATGAAGTGACTGCTTCCGGTAACCGCTGGAAGCTCTATAAACCCATCCGAGTCACTGGCAGCAAGAAGCCTGATGTAGGCAAAACAATCTGTGATGATGTGATGCCAATCACTAATATCAATCGTCTTTGATGGTATGTAGAGTTTTTGAGGAGCTATTTAACTGATCTGCTGCCGCAGTGACATCTAGCAGATAGTTGTACCCTTCTTGGCTCGTGAAGACTGGTCCATCTAACTAGGTGAAAGTCCGTAAGGAACTCCAACTCTTGAATCTCCACATATCATCAGGCCCAGATAGTCTACCTTCGACCTTTGAAGACAGTGGTGACTTTCTGGTTATGGAATTGACCGAGTTATTTGCAAAAATCTGGCAATTAGTGTTGAACACAATAGAATGAGTCGATAGTATTTCCTATCCTTGAAACGCGTTCAAGTTGTATCTACTACTACTTTTCATCATACGAGTCAGCAATCGTAGTGTTTTTTGACATTAGGATGGCCTTTTGTCCGTTGGACAGAACTGTTCTCTTGGATTGTCTATTGGAGAAGAGTGTATTTGGGAATTTAATTAACAACTTTAAAGTCGTATGTCCTAGCGCTTTGAGCAGAGTGAGGGCATACAATCACTTTTATTCATTGTTCTATTCAAGCAGTGGTGTCGGATAGGATTGAGAAATCTCACCATTCCTCCTCAGCCTTGCCATCGATGAGGTTCTAGAAACAGCTCTAATGGATGTAGGTAGTGGTGGTGTGGATCTTTTGCCTGTAGAAAGACTTTTCAACCTTGAGTACGCAGATGATATCGTATAACTGTGCAATTACAACCAAGTCATGTAATCCTCACTTAATCAATGTCCTTTGGTACGGAATGTGCCTTGCACCTTTGAAGTTGAAAGTTCCTTTACAAGAATTGCAGGACGTTGATCCTGTACTCACCACGGTTAGTGAGCAGGGAGTAGTAGTCGAGAAGACTGCGTATCTAAGTATCTCGTTAAAGATTTGAGATCAATTCATGTATAGAAAAACCCAGAGCTGTTTATGCCAGTCTGTGTCGTTCTTGGCAATTTTCCTAGTTATTTCGGCTGTAAAAGGTCATATCTTCAACGTTTCTGTGCAAAGTATTGAAGACGTCGAGTTGATGTTTTTTATTCACGATTTGACGATTCCCATCTTTAGGTATTTCACATGGTAAAGCCTCCTTACCTGATGCCATCTATTTGATCCTTAGTTTGAGGGTTGTGGAAAATAACTTGTGCTGATTATCTGTGTCTTTTTTTCGAAGGTGAGCAATTTTGAGAGTGTCGACTCCCTGGAAAAAATTCAGAGATGTTAAACTCAACAAGCTTATGTCACCATATTGTTTTCCACAGAAATGTGCTGTATATCTGAAGTAAACTGCGTAGAAGTAGTAGTGGTTGTCGAGACTATCAATGTAGGTACTCGTCTGAAGACGAGCACACTAATAATGTAAGATGTTTTTGATCGGTAAACAGAGTAAATTCTCGGCCTTCAATAGTGTGTTGAAAGTGCAGTATAGGACAATACATGGTTAGGAGTACCCAACCGAAAGTGCCATACCTCGACGCAGTGTTTTAAACTGCTTAGAGAGGAGTGACAAAGGTTGCCAGGTGTTGCTAACACATTGCTGTAAGTCTCCTACCACTGTCGAGTCAAATGATGTTTGAGATGTTAGATCCCCAGATCTTACTTGAAAAAGAATCTAATTTTGTAATTTTATTCAGAAAATTTGTATTTCTTTGTTTTGGCGCCGAAAGTGCTCTTTTCACCTTCATGTCGTATTTTCCACTTGCAAGAATCTTAAAGGCTATTAGTCCGTTGTGTCTTTTATATGCTATCTTGTAACTCTCCCCAAGGATGGTTTTGCGTTGTATATATACGTTTTGAATTATGTTTGTTGTTATCGCTCGTTTCTGGCTGTTTAAAGAATATACTTTCCCATTTCAAGCTTGGACTTCTTCCTCTAGTTAGCGGGGCTGTGACGCATTAATAGCTAGCTTATTGGTCTTTGGTCACCGAGTCTTTGTTCCTTTCGCAGATTAAGTGAATTCGTAACCTCTTCAAACCTAGCAGATGCGTCTACTCTAATACTAATGGATGCTTTTACTTCCTAGTGAGCGAGCATAGTTGACCTATCAAGTGTCTCATGAGAGACTCGCAGTTGCTAGAAAACGTTAATGAAAACTTTTCAGACTGTTGAAATTCCACAAATGCTTGTCTGTGTTGGTTCTGTGCAAGTGTTCACGAAAAAGAGAACTTTCAAAACATTGGAGAAGTATAACAGACAGCTTTATCCACCAACTACATTCACCGTCAACGCGTGCCATCGCATTAGTGTCGGACGGTTTCAATGATTGAGAAACTGTATGGTTTTATGCTATTTCTTAGAGACTTGACAAACTTGTTGACGTACCAGCAAAAATACGGTTTATCTGCATTTTAATTTATACAGACAGACTTGTTTCGTGACAGTACTGTTTCTGAATCTTTTGCGTCTGTGGTCAATATTAAGATAACGTGTAAGAGAACTACAAAGATATGCATTGTCATTTTGTATCGTTTGAAGCTTTTCTATGACCGAATAAACCCCTGTGTTTAGGGTTCTAGTGATCTCCAGATCCCGGTTGTTAGATACAGCCTGTTCTTCTTGAGCGTTATTTTGAAATTAAGTGAGAAACGCTTAAACCGTCTGAGTAAATTAGATAATGAGAGAATTTTTAAGAGGTTTTTGTCAATAGTTGTCATGAGTGCAGCTTTAAATATTAATGAAACCATCAACATGGATTCCCGTAACGTAGTGGATTATCAATACTTAAATGTAGACATGGTTATAGAGAAGACAAAATTGTACGCTAAGAAGAAACAAACTAAAGAGAGCTCTAACATTTGAGTTGACAATTTCAGCTTCAGATCCTCGTATGAAAACAAAACCGACTATTCAGGAACTAAGCTGGAACGATGTAGAACATTTGTCCAAGAAACCAAAACAAGTCGACGACTGGTTTTCAGTATCATCATAAAATTAAACGGAAAAAGAAAGACTTAGAGTACTTTTACCAAGCAGGACTTCAAAAACGGAAGGAGTTCGAATCATCGTTAAATGTTGTCTGACATGGCACTGCTGGAGAGTTATTCCCATTCTCAACATGCAGCAACGTATCATGGGAAACGCCAAGAATAACGCCTTGAGTACTGATCTCAGTCTCAGAAGATTCATTTCCACAATGCAACAAAACACTACAACCAGAACTTGATGACGAGGTATCCTTTTCACATTCATCTTCGAAACAGTCCCGTTGAACTTGAAGTGAGGTTGTCAACGCATCAGATACTTCCTTATTTACACACTCAACATGCATGAAAACAGAATTTTTAGATGATTCCGAATTGTGTAAAAATGATGTACCGTTAAAATTAGAATCGATTCGTTCCGATACTAAATCATGTGATACAGGTGTGTAAATTGACGTTTCAAAGAATACTGCACTGTAAAGACGTGACTCTGTATCTTCGTCAATAAAATCACTGTCATAATCGTTTTCTTCATTTGCTTCGTAATCCATCACAACCAAATGTGAAGTTCGAAAACAGGGTCTTCAACTCAAACAGATTCAGGACAGAATAAATAAAGTAATAAGATGGTATTAACTTCTAGTGAGGCGTGTGATCTGTAGAAAATACAAAAAAGATTAGAGACAAGTATATTGCAACCTCGAAAACCTGTTTTTGAGATTCACAAAACATTAGGTTAAAACAGTTGACAAAAGCTGTTAGCGGGACATAGACTAGATTAAAGCATGCTCAATGCATGATTGCTTTGGTGCACGCTGATTGGCTAATTCTTATCCAATCAGCACTAGTCGATAGTTGAAGAATACTCTGGAATCTTCTTATGTAAAAAACTATAAATATACTGACGTTTTCCCTATTGTGCTTCTGGCTTGCATCTTGCCTCCATCTAACCTTGTTATTTGGAATATAATCTCTTTCCTGTTTAACCGTGTTCTGATTTGGGGTCTTGTCGAGTGAATCGGTGTCCAAGGATACTAAGCAATAGGAATAGCTGGGTCATAACCGTAAGAAGAAAGAGATTATAACAAAAGCTTTTACATTTCACTCAACCTTAATCTACTTTTACTGATTATCATAGCCATTATCGATAGGAACCACTAATAAAAAAACGAATACAGACTAATAACCAAACAGTTTTACCCACTACATCGTAAGTTATACTTTTTGTATGAGGATAGATGATCAGCCTTGGTAAGTAGCATTTAAATATGTAAACTAGTGGCTGAAACCCGAAAAACAACCTCTTGACTACAAGTCTTGCGTCTAATGCTACACAAATTAACCACTTCCCTGTTTAAAACCCAAAAATCAATAGCTGCCTGGAGATAATGGCTTTCTAGAACTTTAGGAAGATTTACAAATCTCTAATGTTACGTTCACAAGCCTTTATTTACTACTAACTAACTTTTTCCGTTAGATGATTACGAATAGATTTTGCACACTTACTTGAGGAACTTGGTGCATTAACAACTATGTTTGCTAGTATTAAGATAACACCAGAAACACAAATGGAAACTGAACTACATCGATCTGTGTTGTAATGATAGAGGATCAGTGAGGTTAAAGACAACCATCACTACAGATCACGGACGACAGTTCGGATCTGCACTTTTCCGTTGTCTGACCACACTATTAGGAATCACTCGTTTCAGAACGACCGCCTAACGCCCACAAGTAAACGGGTTGGTAGAACGATTTCACCGACAACTAAAAGCTTCGCTATCAGCCGCTAACCTTCCACAGTGGACCAACTAGGTATTTCCAATGCAGTGAAAGCTGACACTGGATACACTGCGTCTCAACTCGTTTATGGAACGACACTTTGACATCCAGGAGTATTCGTGGATCCTTCATTTTCTTCAATGAACATGGATCTAACCTCCTACACGAACAGGCTTACAAACGCAGTGCGTTCAGTTAAACCTGTTTCCACTGGACCGCAATCAACTGATGTTTTCTTTCAACCTGACTTACGATATCCCATTAATCACATGTCTGTAGCTTTATTTTTTCTGACTATAAATACTGAGTAACGCTTGACAAAGATGGAGTTGGCTTCCCAGCCATCTTCCCTGCGTGTCATTTTGCTTTGCTATGTTTTATTCGCTTCATATTCAAAACATATGTATTCTCAAGTCAATTCTCGTTATTCGACTTATTTAATTCCGTTATTGATTAACGCGATTTAGGTCGACGATTTTATACGAGAATAGGCGATAACAAACATAGGAGTCAGATCCACGGGCCACTAAAGATCTTTCAAAGTTCTTCAACGAGAACCTAAGTACTATATAATCGATAAGAACGGAACCAACGATAGCATCGGCATCGATCGCCTCAAAGCAGCGTATGTAGAAGGAAATCCTATCCACGTCGATTTGCCTTCGGTACAATCAAATGATACGGCTCCTACACTTATAATACCTCATCCGACAGCCAACACACACAATGATACTTCGACAGTATCTGAAAAAACTTAAAACAACGCGTTCTGGAAGAAGAGTAAGATTTCCAGGTCATTTAAACGGCTACTGCACGTAGGACACCAGTTATCATTTTGCTTCATCTCCATTTTCCATGGCGATATATATGATATAAAAAATCAATTTTTATTTACTTATATTGATATATATTTATTATTTTGCTAATATGTATTATTAAAAATTTAAAAAGAAACAAAAAGACATTTTGTGAAAGTCGCTTTTGCGCTATCACATGTACATGAGTTTATTTTCCTTTTTTCACCCACTTTATGTCTTAAAGTGCGTGCGAGTTTATTTCGACATGCACTTACATTTTCTTTTTTTCTTTTCCAGGACGGCAGGAAAAGAACGTTGACTTTTACGAGGAACCAAAATTTTCATTGTACATTAATTTTTTCACTATATTGTACTTCATGGTCCCTTATAGTAAGGAAGGATGACAAGACGCTGCTAAACCTAGCAAGCTATCAGTGAAGTGTTTACCAACGACAATCTCGTTTGGTTTAAACTTCTGGCTGGCCGCGCCTTAGGGTCACCACTTCACCACCAGGGGGGAGTGATCTGTAGCGTTAAGCATATCCCCAAAATAAATAGCTCTGTAAGTTTTCGACATTGGATATTGACCACTTTCGTTTTAATGGACTCACTTAGCTGAATGAGCTCGGCCATGCATCCGCACCAGATTACGAGTGGGACGGCCGTGCTCAACAACCCTTGCAATCGCTTGCCAGATTAGATCAGACGATACTCGATATATTGATAGCTTATCAAATATACCTTTGAATCTCCTCGCTTCTGTCTTTTGATTTCACTTGGAGGGTACGATTAATATTATGTGTTACTGGTTAAAGCGTTGTTAAACTCCGAATACCTGTGGCATCTGCTGAAATTTTCGCAACCCACTAATTAAATTGGTGAACCTTCATTACGTGGTAGAAGTATGCGGTGTTCGTATGAACCAATGATTATTTTTTAACCGATATCCACCTGATTTGGTTATCACAGCTCATTTTGCCCATAAGTATTTGAACTTGTCAACTTGTAATTTCAAATTCTTGCACGAAATGACCGCCTCTTGTTAGGCCGTTCAAGGTCGCTAAACAGAACGGCGGGTAGCTTCGAAAGGCTCTGACGTTTTTACCTGTTTCTCCTTCGTCATGTCTTTCAACTTTTCGGGAATTAAGAAAGCACTGTTTGGAGATAATAAGCCTCGACCAAAACTTGGGTCTCTCGATATAGAGGGTAAATTCAACTGTTTTAGCATATTCTGTTAGGTGTGACACAATTAATCCAGGATGGTCAAGTCAACAAAATAATAACTATGGTTGGTGCTGGCGTGTCAACAGGTAATATTTTTTTCTCTAGTGTTTCCCGGATTAAGAGTTGCGTCACTCTGGTATCCGTGGGTCATGTTTGCGTATGCTACTGTAAAGGACCTTGATAAGTCTATCAGACAAGTAAAACTACTGAGTGATTAATGTTGGAATGAGGTTTAAGGTTCTAGCTATTAATTCGAATTCTAACGATAATAGAGTATATAAAAATGCAAACATTCTCAGCTCAAGGTGCATTTACAGGTATCTCAATCACAGATTACTAGTCGTTTGGATATACACCCATTCTCACTATTTCCGGAAAATTTTGTCCGTTTTAGGAAAACTGTTATAGAAAACTTTGGAAAACTGGCACAAACCTCCCAAAATCTCCCTAGATCTGGGGAAAATCCCCAAAATGTTTCCCCCAAACTTTGGGGAAAGCTAGCAAACTTATCACGACTCTAGGCAAAACCACAGAACTTACCCAAAGTCCTCCCAAATAGGGAGATTGAGCACCTTTCTTAACTTAAGCTCTCCGCTTGATATAATTTTCAATTCTTTCAACGGTTAATTGTTTTGCCATAGAAATTTTGTGAGTATTATTTCACAACCCATGTATTTTTTATTTCGAAAAAATAAAGCTGCTGGAATACCTGATTTTCGAAGCCCATCTTCTGGCATATACGACAACTTGGGAGATTTTAACTTGCCCACTCCGGACGCAATATTCTCGATTGATTACTTCCGAGTAGGTGTGTTTCTAGTGTCAGTAAGCTTGGTTTTTTTTTCTTTTCCAGGACGATCCTAGACCTTTCTTTGAGATTGCAAGGCGTTTGTATCGACCAGAAGCAAAGGCACGTGTTACGCATTACATAATATCAAATTTAGCCTACATTGGCTCATTGTTTTATCAGGCTACTTCATGACAAAGGCTTACTTCTTAGGCATTATACACAGGTAATGAAAGCATTATCATCCAGTTTTTATTCTCATAGAACTGTGATAGTTTGGAACGCTTATCTGGTTTACCAGAGGAGAAATTGGTTGAAGCCCATGGAACATTTCACACAGGACACTGTATTAAGTGCAAGAAACTGCATGATTTCGAGTTTATGCTAAGTATTTACCACTTAAAGTAAATGACATTTCTTTCTGTTTGTAGATGAAATTTTAGCCAAAAGAGTGCCTAAGTGTCTTAAATGCAAACACGTCGTCAAACCTGGTAACTGCTTAATTCCAGTTAAATTATTTACAGATGTTGTACTTTTTGGAGAGAGTATGCCGAAGAAATTTTTCAAGAACCTTTCTTCGGTGAGTCCTAGACATTTATATAATTTAATGGTTGAATTCATGAGCCAATTGAAGCTAGACCATAACAAATCTGGAAGCACTGGACAGCCGTTTCGTCCTAGTATGGGACTCTAGCAGTGCGCATCCACGACCCCGCCTCGCGGGACTCGAACCCTGGACCTATCAGTCGCGCGCAAACGCTTAACCTCTAAACCACTGAGTCGGCATCTAACGTTGTCAATGTGTTACTTTGAAATCAGTTATTGTAGAATATGGCATATGATTAATAATCACCTTCCCACATTATCAAACATGGGTCACATTATTGAGTTCAAACCAACTTTTGTCGTGTTGTGTAAACATGATTTAGGACAAATACTAAGGTTTAATCTGACCTTAGCTGTACAAAGATTCAAACTCCTTTTTGTTTCAGAGATATTTCGTTTTTACTTAGAGCCTACCCTTTTGATATCACCCTTAAACTTAGCATCCAGATTGGTGTGATGTATTTTTTTTCTTATTATGTGTGTTGTCTTCATTTCCACATTGGTTCAGTTTGCTGCTTTTATAATGGATAACGTAGATGTTTAGTGTGAAATCAGGTTGTTCAGAAGATATTTACTTAAACACAAACATTGGTACAAAGGGGTACCAGATGCATATGCGCCACACAAGTCACTTAGTTTGTGTGTGGGCTGGGATACTGCCTGGGTGCCCAAACCGAAGCAGGTGATTTCCCTAAGGGGCCACACCCGGAGCCTTTGACCTAAAGTCCTGATCCACAAGGCAACGTCAGGAGACGCAGTTCCATGGTAACCGATGACCAACGTTTGGTTCATACGCCATTTATTCCTTCAGGATACTGGAGCTCATGTGCACCATTGATTTGGAGTCAGAGTTTTCCAACTCCCCTAGATAGATCCTCCATACCCACCAACCCGGTTAAAGTGCCGGACATTCGCTTCCCGTCCTCTCAATTTCGTAAAAAACAACCCCGCCACGAGAAGGCAGTGAGTAGGACTCCCCTGGTAGTGGCGGTATACTTGTAGCCATGTGATAGCATTTCGAGAGGGGGAGCTGCCTTTTCCCACTCTCGACCCTACCAGGGCATTTGGGGGCGTTCAAAAGGTAGGGCACTAATATTCCACTTAGTTCTACTAAACACCGTCTTCTCGTCGCATCATTTAAGTTTATCCAACGGACCTATTGTTTTAAATCAATAGTTTTTATTGTAATGGGAAACATTTTAGGCATTTCAAGGTAGCAATTGCTTAGTTCTCATTAAATTGTTAATCTTATTTATCCTCCTATGTCATGTTCGGAGTCTTAGTAATATTAAGTTATCTTGCACTGAGGTAAAGTAATGGTTGGTCCTACAAGTATTGTACTCGTAGACATACTTCTGTTCATCCTTCAGCACTATAGCTTTGATTTTTACCCGACTAGAGCTTCTTACATGTTCGAAAAGTTTGTTCAGTCGACCTCATTTCCTAATAACGGGAGTGTTATTTACCTGCAGTTACGAGATTTTATATAGAAAAACAATTTTCAAGTAACGCATGTTTCAATTCACCGAAGCATCTTACTTTCGTATGGGAGCTAAGTTTTCAATGAAACACGATTTGGGACTCTTAAATTGTTCGACAGTTATCAAACACATTTCAATTTTCTTCCACCTTTTATTGATTAAAAACCTACATAACTAAACCGACTGTGCTCGACAAATTCTTTAAAAAAAGGTCAATCAGTCAGCTACAACGTAGGACCAGGCACATATATGCATCGGTCCAAGTTGCCATACCTCATTAGCACAACAGGATGATAGCCGAATTCATAGAAATAGTTACTTCAATGGTAGTAATATATTAAAGGAAGATTGTGTATAAGGATAAAATACAAAAAAAGAACCATTTTGTAGAACGAAAGATAAAAAGCAATTTTAATCTTATTGTTTAAGGGAAAACAAAGAGTATATACATCTACGCCATTGTGATCGATTCTGAGCCATGTCACCAAGAGTCTCCAACCATTGGTTATGATAGTCACGCGGACCCCAACCGAGTAGTCTTCGTCTACCAACATGGCTAAGACTAGAAGTTAGTGACTTCAAGCACTGATGCCACGTTTTGGTTTGGCCGTCCCTAACTTTCTTCCAACGATCTCCAACACCAGTTAGCATTACACGTTGTAGTAATCGGTGTTCAGGCATACGTAATACGTGGCCCAACCATCTCAGCCGATAAAGATTCACAACCTTATCAACTGATTTACCATCGTTCCCTAATACCCTGCGTCTAACCTCACTATTACTTATCCGGTGATCCCAGCAGATGCTTGAAATATTTCTAAGGCATCTGTGGTCAAATACTAGTAACTTACGAGTATCTTCTACTCTTAATGGCCATGTTTCGCGGTGGAAAAGTAGAACAGAACGAAATTCTGCACGGTAAACGAGGTTCTGGAATCCGAGCTGAGATTTTGTCAAACACCAACCCATTAGGGCTGATCAGACTTCCAAGATAAGTGAAGTTGTCAATGCGTTCGACTACTTCACTCGCTATTCTTAGTTCAGGTGTTGACGCAGACCAGTCCTGAAGCAACAACTTGCATTTAGAGGGAGAGAAGTGCATTCCAAACATTCTGGCATTGTTGCTTAGTGCTACCAAAAGACTCTGCATTTTGTCAGCGTCCTCACCAAACAGGACTATGTCATCTGTGTATTCTAAGTCGATAAGTGGACCTCGTGGAAGGAGATCAATACCCGAGAATTCAGTCGACGAGCATGTTATTTCCACCAATAGGTCTATGATGAAGTTGAACAAAAATGGAGAAAGTGGACAGCCTTGAAGGACACCACTTGAGGTCGCAAATGCAGATGACAGTTCGCCATAAACCCTGACTGGACTAGTAGTGTTCGAGTAAAGAGCCTTCACAAGTTTTATGTGCTTCTGAGGTACGCCTTTCAATGACAGACACTGCCACAGAATCTCTCGGTCTATGGAATCAAATGCTGCTTTTAAGTCGAGAAAGACCACCATCGTCGGAAGTCGATAAGTATGCCTGTGTTCTAGAACCTGACGAATGGTGAATATGTGGTGGATGCAGCCACGACCAGGTCTTAAGTCAGCTTGATACTCTCGTGTTTGCAGTTCACGAGTCTTAGTTAGGCGTCTGATAATTATCGAGGCTAGTACTTTAGATACTATATTAATTAAACTAATCTTTCTACGGTTGTCACAGGATGATTTTGACCCTCTCTTAAATATTGGGACGATCAGTGATTGTGACCAGTCAGATGGAATAACGTCTAACTCCTAGATCTTAGCTAAAATATTAGTCAACCTAATCGCTAAAATTGGACCACTATCCTTAAAGACTTCTGGAGCAAATCCATCTGGACCAGCTGCCCTTCCTCGTTTCAGATTAGCAATAGCCTTTTGAACTTCTGGTAGAGTTGGGGGACCTACTTCGATGTTCCATTCACACTGTCTGGGAATGGAGGGTATTTGTAGAGTAGCTGAAGGCCAGCTGAACTGTTCTCTGAAATGTTCCGCCCATCGTTCTAAACGTCTGGACTGGGAGCAGATGAGAGTATCGTCCTTTACCGAAATAGTCTGAATTACACTTGATTTATTAATTCCAGTTTCTTTTATTAGTCTGTAGGGCTGTCTTGTGTTCCCTATAGTAGCCGCCTTTTCCATCTCTTTTGCTTTCGTTGACAACACTGCTCACGGTCGTTCCTTAGACTTTTGATTAACCTAGATCTGATTTGTTTACGCTCTTCATCATGTTCAGAACCTGATGGAACGAGTTTGCGAGAATCCATCAGTGTGACAGACCTTGAAGAAATCCACTGGTTCCTTGTAACTCTGTAGTTTAAGTCACTAATAGATGTCACTGCTGTTTCCACAGCTGATTGTATGCCCTTCCAAGCAACATCTGTATCAACCTTGATTTCAGAACTACCTAATTGTGACCTCAGTTGTTCCTGGAACCTACTTTTGGTTTTCTCGCTACTCAGTTCAGTTCTAATGGGTCTTTTAACTGAGGCTTTTTTGCGTCCAGTGAGGTGCAAGCAGATGCGTGCCCGTATTAGGTAGCGAAAATTATGCAGATAAGACTGAAGATCTGGAAGATGTGTTGCTTTTCGTGCTGTAGTGGGAAAAGGACATCATTGTTTTTTCTGGGTATAATCCAATTTGACTGTTTTTTTGTGTTCAGCTATTCTCAGTTTTCAATAGTTTTCGAACCTTTAAAGAGTCGTCTTGTAATGAGAAATTGACTCGAAAAGTATGTTCGTATTTTTTGGAGTGGAACTCAAATATAATACTTGCATGAATATCATAGAAGTGATTTAGGATCGGTAGCTGGTCCCATAACATCCGAGATCGTACTAAATTGGTTTGATTGGGAAGTTTCTGCGTAATCATCTCAGCCATGTAGAATTGTGGTGTCCGAAATTCTCGCTGGTGATATTTTATTGTAGAATTAAGCTGCTATGGAAAAATAGGGATTATTGAATTTATTTCCCTCACAGAGTTAATAGCTTGTTATCAAATAATATTGTGTTCGACTGTCGTTTGATTTAGATACTGATATGGATGTTACGTCTTTGCCAACCCAACCTGCCACTTACGTATGAAGACAAGGAGTTTTGTCAGTTAACCAAACCAAATATATACAAAACTTATTCAGGGACATCTGTCATCTGATTAAGTAAGCTAGATTTCAATTACTAAATGTTATCGGTATCTCCTAAGTAATCGAGTCAAACATCGAACAATAGTGTACAGCTGTCAACAACTCTCAGCTATCGTTCGACCCTAAACTTATTGACCCAGAGCATCAACTATCCATCAAATTACTTTATAACCTTTTGTATTTTTTTTACCTCTTTTTATGTCGAATTTGGTGACAGTTAAGCTCGAAGCATCTTGTGTTTATAAATTATGCTTATGTACAATAGATTACATAATATATTTAAAATTGGCCTCAGTTAATGTGAATTGTAGTTTTTTCTCATCATTTAACTTCGTAATTCAATTTTTATTAAACTTAGGATCTCAATAATTGTGATTTACTCATCATAATGGGTACTTCTTTAACTGTGTTACCATTCTGTGCTATGATTCATCGTGTTGGTAATGATGTCCCGCGACTCTACATTAATCGAGAATATAACGATGGATCTACAGAGCCTGTAAGTTTGCTTCAGTCTGTGAATGACTATCATTCATTTGTTGTTCATATTTTTATCCAATTATTTAATACCGTTCGAAAACTGATCATAGTAAATAACTCGATAACACCTAGATCTAAATTAATGTTGATCGATGTTGCCATTTTTAAAGTGTCCGAGTTGAAACACAGTTAATCAGTTTGGTAGTTACCTATTGCATTCAAAGTTTACTATACTGATTTATTCGTACACAATTTTCCGACATCATGGCTGCATGAGAGGTATTTTGTTCATAATATGGCTCCGTAAAATGAAAAATGGTTGTATTGTACTGGGCTCCACAGATCTGTCAATATGTCATTGGCGGAGTCCCTAACATAATTCGACTCATCGTCTAAAGGCATTTTCGAATATAGGTTCGAAGAGATGACGGCGCAAGTATTTCTCATATTTATTATCTGAACACATAAATATTGGTACAAAGGGGCACCAGATGCATATGCGCCACACAAGTCACTTAGTTTGTGTGTGGGCTGGGATACTGCCTGGGTGCCCAAACCGAAGCAGGTGATTTCCCTAAGGGGCCACACCCGGAGCCTTTGACCTAAAGTCCTGATCCACAAGGCAACGTCAGGAGACGCAGTTCCATGGTAACCGATGACCAACGTTTGGTTCATACGCCATTTATTCCTTCAGGATACTGGAGCTCATGTGCACCATTGATTTGGAGTCAGAGTTTTCCAACTCCCCTAGATAGATCCTCCATACCCACCAACCCGGTTAAAGTGCCGGACATTCGCTTCCCGTCCTCTCAATTTCGTAAAAAACAACCCCGCCACGAGAAGGCAGTGAGTAGGACTCCCCTGGTAGTGGCGGTATACTTGTGGCCATGTGGGGACATTTCTCAACCAATGATTGCTATACCCAAAATTGTTTATTAAGGTAAATAGGCGTCAACAAAATTATTGTCTTTCGAAGGTTTACATTCACACATTTTGTAAAAACTTCAATTTCTAGTTTCAATCAAGCTACTACGTAGCTATTTATTGAGCATGTTGTAGGTTGCTGTAGGAGTTAATGAATAGTAACTGACAAATTATTGCGATATGTACAGTCAACCTTCAGTGATGTCTATGTCTTTGTTATTAGTTTTTATGTGATAACTTGCAAGTAATGACACTCTCTTTTAATATTATTAACCCTAACACAGTGTTCTATGAGTTATTTACCACATTTGATTGCTTCGCACCAGGCTACCAAAAATTCAAAAACGTGATATAAAGTACCTATGAAGGTGAATAGCGTTGAAATGAAGTATAGTTCGAGAGATTTTATGATTGATCTAATGCTTAAAGGACATCTACATAGTATTATCATCTATTTATTTTCTGCACTACTTCATATTACAAATTATACATTTTTAACAGTCAACCATCATAGATACAAGTGAAAATGCCGAATCAAACAGAACATGACATTGTCATATTCCAACCTATTATGACTTTTATTGCGCTAAAAATATTCTGCTTTGTTTCCTTTATACTATTCAAACTTATTAATTAATGTCCGTTACTAACTTATTTACTCTGAAAAAGTGACGTACACTAATTTGCGAAATGTTAGAAACACAGATTTCTACTAATTTGGACATCATAAAAATATAATTACTACTTAATCAGCTATGTTTAATCTATCACTCAGTACGTCGTTTTACGTTATATTTATTGAGGGTTTATCTTCATTCATTATGCGGTTCATGGTGGCTGGTTTTAAACAGAATTATATGAAATGGAGCAGGTCTGATAATAAACGTGATATATTTTGGTCGGGTAATGCGGATGATGGTGTAGTCAAAATATCAGAACTTCTTGGCTGGAAGGTAAGCGCAATATTCCATTTTGTGTATTAGGTACTTATTTATGTTCCATTGTTATGTGAGACATTGGTGTGAATTGAAGGTTCTTTTATGTTTAGTGTAATTTGTGTCCTTGTAAATAATACATGAATTTAAATTTTTCATAAATGACGTTTATCGGAATAGACTGTCATAGGGTTTTAATTGTTTCCATTCCACTTTAAACTGCTCTAGATGTTTCAAGTTTTTCTATTTATTATGTATCATACCAATCCTTTTCATCTTAATTTAAGTTGATTGTGATTCAACTCTCTCAAAGTCATTTCACTTAGTCACCACACAACTCATAACAGCATAAAACGTTGGTAAATTGTGGAAACGAATTCACAAGATATAATAATGTGGATTATATTGGCTGTCATACTTTTTGTTCTTATTAAAAGGGGTGTATTAAAATTCAATTAAATGATCAACGAAGAATTTACACACACGAATTCTAGTCGACCTTGTACAAAAATGATATTTTCCAATGCTGTCTGTTTTGTAATCAGTTTTTATGCTAATTGCATTTTAGTGTTCTGTAGCCCTTATATCTGACTCCAGTTAAATCGTATGCTGATTGTTATCAAACTATACTTACCACCAACCGTCGTATATTTTTATCGATTTAGTTCGCATTAGAGGACAAAGGAATGAAACAAGCCAAATACGAGAATACATCTTGAATCCGTATATTTTTTACTCATTGATCCAGCCAGATAATCAGGGGACGAAGTGAAGAAAGGAAAGCGAGACGAAACAAAATGAAGTGACGCTCAACGAAGGAGAGTGGGCCAACTTGATTTTAATCGAGCGTGACTCAATATTTATATTCAGACAAAAATAAGTTAGACATGTCATGAATAGGTTGAGCAATTAACACACAGACGATATGAAAACAGTCAGGGTTAGTAAGCGAATGAATGACAGGGTCAAAATGTGGCTTGAGAAGAATGAATAAATTGATTTGTCCAAAAGCTAGAGTAACCTGTATGGGCTGACCACATTACCAGCAACTACAAGTGTACCAAACAGTCCTAAATTTCGTGTTCATTTGACCACAAAAATAATATACATGTGTAGATCCTATTTGTTTGAACAGTCATAAGAAGCATAATTCAAATACAAACAACATTTGAAAGTTCAACCAATGATACAAAAGTTTCCATTAAAAGTAATAGTTAAAATACATATGTTTTAATATCACTTGATAATCTAAGTATCTTACGAAACAAACTAATGACCAGTTAGGGTCCTTTTGGAAACGTTCTTAAGGAACTATATAAATAAGCTTCGAAAATCTTCGTCATCTTTTAGAAATCTGTTTATTCACAATATAGTAAACTGTACAATTTATCATAAATTTAAAAGGTCAAAAGTGTAATTATGTGAAACTGTCAGTGAATGAATCCAATAGCAAAAACTATGCCACTATTATTTAATGTGCATTCAATCAGAGATAGCTATGTATTAAATGCAATGTAAGAGGAGTATTTATGGTAGTGGAGTGGCTGGGTTTTAAAACCACTAAATCTCATGTTCAAACTGTTGAGAATGCCGAATATCTAGAATACACGTAATAAATGTCTTATTTTTGTAATTTTAGTTTAGAAAGTTTGAATTTCTTGTTTTCGCACCGAAAGCGCACATTTTCACCTTCAGATTATATTTCCCACTTGGAAGGACCCTAAATGTCATTGGTCCGTTGTCCCTTAATGCTTTTGTAACGTTTCTCAAGGGCATTGTTGTGCCATATATATATGCTTGCTTTGTGTTTGGTGTTGTTCCCGACCGTTGTTGCTACCTTGATGTGGTGATCAGGCTTGCCTATCGTGATGAAGCAACCGAGCTACACTGGCTGGAACAACCGTTCCTCAAGGTCCTACCATGTCAGACAGGTCGGTTGAAGAGCGGTAAGACTAAAAGCAACAAACCCAAGGTCCGAAGGCGAAGTCGTACTGCTGACTGTACAGAGGTGTGACAGCAGTAAGGTGTTTCCTTCAGACAACCAGCATGACAGCGATGCTGCCTTCCCACAAGGAGGGGTGGGGTTAGAAAAGGTCGACCCTAAAAATGCACACCTCGCCTTATCCCACGGATATCCGTCTCCGGCGGTAAGGTCTCAATAAGTACGGAGCTAACACAAAAATTACCCATAACAAGGTCGTGTGTGACCGACCTCAAGCAGTTGTCCCTTGGGCACTGCGGTCACGCTCTCAGGTCACTAAGACCACCTTTAATCCAATTTCCTTTTCAGGTACCTCCAGAACAACCCTTCCACGGTGTGGGCAACCGGGAAGTGATAACCGCCCTCATACCTCTAACAGCACTCAAGACCACTGTATTCATAATCAACCTCCCTCTTCAATTCCTATTATTCCTCCTACATCGACTTTCAACTCTCAATTTCCTCTCTCGGCTTCCACCTCAAGTGTCACCATAGCCAACGATTCTAGTGCGCAAAACACTGTCCCAGGTCTACTGAAACCTCGCTCCAAATTACACATTGGAGCCTTCAACGTACGAACCCTATGTCAAATCGGTCAGCAGGCTTCCTTGGCTAAAACCCTAGAGTCTCTTACCATTGACGTGTGCTGTGTCTCCGAAACACGCATACAGGATTCCAGTGTGTTTATTCACTTGACCTCACCTCGGCAAAACGGAGAGCCAATGAGATACACCTTCGTGTATCTGGTGACCCGATGGCAAGTTCTCGTGGACTGGCAGGTGTAGGCATAGCACTAAGCATGAGGGCCGAACAAGCACTGCTAGAGTGCATCCCCGTCAACAGTCGTCTATGTGCTGTTCGGCTGAACGGCTACGTAAGAACTCGGAAGGATAGGAACACACGTCGTTGCCTTTTCGTCGTTTCTGCCTACGCTCCCACTGACTGCAGCTCAGATGAAGTGAAAGATGAATTTTACAGAAAGCTGTCCGAACTTCTTCAGAAAGCTAAACGCTCAGACATAGTACTCGTAGCAGGTGATTTTAATGCTCAGATAGGCAGTTTAAACCAAACAGAAAGGCATTTAGGTGGATTTTTTAGTATTCCGACACAGCGAACAGATAATGGTGATCGTCTGCTGCAGCTATGCTCAGACAATCGTTTATTTTTAGCAAACACAAATTTTAAGCATAAGGAGAGACATCGTCTAACATGGCGACCCCCTACACCAAACCAACGATGGACTCAAATAGGCCATATTGCCATCAGTCATCGTTGGAGAGGGTCGGTAGAAGATTGTCGCTCATTCTGGAGTACGTGCTTGGACTCCGACCATGCCCTAATACGGGCACGCATCTGCTTGCACCTCACTGGACGCAAAAAAGCCACATTAAAAAGACTCGTTAGAACTGAGTTGAGTAACGAGAAAACCAAAAGTCGATTCCAGGAACAACTGAGGTCACAATTAGGTAGTTGTGAAGACGAGGCTGACCCAGATGTTGCTTGGAAGGGCATACAATCAGCTGTGGAAACAGCAGTGACATCTATTAGTGACTTAAACTACAGAGTTACAAGGAACCAGTGGATTTCTTCAAGGTCTGTCACACTGATGGATTCTCGCAAACTCGTCCCATCAGGTTCTGAACATGATGAAGAGCGTAAACAAATCAGATCTAGGTTAATCAAAAGTCTAAGGAACGACCGTGAGCAGTGTTGTCAACGAAAGCAAAAGAGATGGAAAAGGCGGCTACTATAGGGAACACAAGACAGCCCTACAGACTAATAAAAGAAACTGGAATTAATAAATCAAGTGTAATTCAGACTATTTCGGTAAAGGACGATACTCTCATCTGCTCCCAGTCCAGACGTTTAGAACGATGGGCGGAACATTTCAGAGAACAGTTCAGCTGGCCTTCAGCTACTCTACAAATACCCTCCATTCCCAGACAGTGTGAATGGAACATCGAAGTAGGTCCCCCAACTCTACCAGAAGTTCAAAAGGCTATTGCTAATCTGAAACGAGGAAGGGCAGCTGGTCTTCATCGACTGAGATGGTTGGGCCACGTATTACGTATGCCTGAACACCGATTACCACGACGTGCAATGCTATCCGGTATTGGAGATGGTTGGAAGAAAGTTAGGGACGGCCAAACCAAAACGTGGCATCAGTGCCTGAAGTCACTAACTTCTATTCTGAGCCATGTTGGTAGATGCAGACTACTTGGTTGGGGTCCGCGTGACTTTCGTAACCAATGGTTGGAGACTCTTGGTGACATGGCTCAGAATCGATCACAATGGCGTCGGTGTATACACTCCCTGTCTTCCCTTAAACTAAGAGATTAAAATCACTTCATATCTTTCTTTCTACGAACTAATTCTTTCTTCCTATACTATATCCTTATTGCAATCTTTCTCCTATATATTACCACCTTTGACCTAACCACTCCTATGAATCCGGTGTTCATCTTGCTGTGCTAATGAGGTATGGCAACCTGGACCGATGTACATATGTGCCTGGTCCTACGTTGTAGCTGACTGACTGTTGTTCGAACTTCTCCCTCTGTTTAGCCGGGCTGGGACACATTGGAATAATTTAGCTATCTTGTTATTGTGTCGTTGAGTCTTCGTTCCGTTCGCCGATTCAGGCGATCTCATAATCTCTTCAAACATAGCAATTTGGCTACGAGGTCGGTGCTAATATGGAACTTTCGAAAGTGTAACTATTGTTGAAACAGTAACTGAAACTCATCATATAGTAGGATTTCACGTGAAGGTTTCATTCAGACGTGTTATCGTTTCATAATATAAAATGGGTTTGTTCATCTTTAATTCTTGTCAGCCACGTAAAACCACATAATATAATACTACTTTACTTTTTAAATTACAACTAAATTAACCGACACCACTAATATCTATAAATTGTTTTTTTCCGCACTATTCATTAGTTTGATGGTTCCAAGTTTTTCTTCTTATGGCACTTTATTATTTAGTCTACTTAATTACAGTTACATGTTAACACACACGTTACTATCGGCAAAATTCTTTCGTTTTGTTTTAGGATGATCTTTTGAGATTAAAAGAGGAGACGGACTCTCGCTTAAATGAAGAGTTTATAGCAAAGAAATCGCATGACAAAATCAGTGGGCAATGATTAAATCGTTCTATTCATTCTGTCATTCTGATAGACTGAACTGATTATCAACATGGAATGTGATTTTACTGATCTTCATGTTTTTTTATATCTTCTGAATTTATTTTAAATACAGTATCTATGGGATTTCTTGGAACTTTTATCTTGAAATATTTTAGATTATGAATGAGTTTGACTCAAACAAAATTCATTTTTGATTCTATCAAGAATGTTTGCAAAGTTTTTCTTCCGAATATATAAAACTTGTGGGTCATATAAATAAACTTTATAAATTACAGTCATTCAGTTGATAGTGACAGAGTTAACTGAAGTTCTATGTTCGAAAATGATGTAAGGCTCCGCGTACGAAAGTTGATACTGGTACGCAAGCTTCTTATACACGAGTCGACTCAACATTCTTGTGTGGCAGTGTGATAATTTTTCTTATTACGACCCAACTATTCCTATTCCTCAGTATTGTTGGGTACCAACTCACTCGACAAGTTCCCAAATCAGAACACGATTGTAGAGGAACGAAATTAAACTCCAAATAAGAGTAGATGGAAGTAAGAAGCACAATAAGAAAAACGTTAGTATATTTATATTTTTCACATGCGAAGGCTCTAGAGTATTCTCCAAACGTGCACTAACACAATCCTGCAGATAACGCGTTTTAATCCAATTTTGTGCCCCACTACCAGGCAGGATGAATTTATCTGCTCAGCTCCCTAGTTCTTTAACTTTTGTAGGAAGTATGGAATTGGTTAAGGCAATCTAATATCCGATACTAGGAACTGGCTGCATACAATTTCGAGTGCGCCCATCAATTTACAAAGTAAGCATTACAATCCATTTACTCTTTCAACTTCACTTTATTTTCGAAATAACTGAAATCGGTCATTTGAATATATAATTAAGAATGGCTTTGCTTGGCCCATTTATATACTATTCTGTAGTTACAGGTTTTTACGCTTCGTTTAGGTAGAATTTACGATAATTGAAAGTAGTTTAACTGATATTCTAACTAATAATTTCCAGTGGTCCAATTTAAGGCAGATAAAATCAAGTGAACTGTGTTTGGAATGTGCGAAAATAATGGGATCATGAATGAGGAACTTATCATTGTGTGCAACTATCACAGAATCATTTCTTGAATAACGTCAAACTTTTCCTTCATTCACATAAATCCAAATTGCATTGTCCGGATGGAAGTAGCTAGCGATATGTTATTTGTCAGGTAATCTTTACAATTTTGATAAATGGACTCTCCTTTCAAGCAACCTGATCAATCTAAGCAGTCCTTTCAAGTGTTGATGCCAAATTTGTAAAATTCCTCACAGATAATCTGTAGTTCTGTGAAATGGTAATATTGTCTGTTCCGTCAAAAAGTGATGACACGTAGGGGTTAGGATTGCTTATGATTGTACACTGTATGGTGTTTTAAAGTTTGTATTTACTCAGATAAAGGATGTTCTTGTTCATCAATGTTTTTTAGAGTGGTAAAGCATATGTAAGAGATCTCTAGACCCCATTTACAATACTCCATCTCTGAATACACAATGCAATTTATTTGCTTGAGTGTGGATTGATAAATTAAATTTGAACAAAAACTAAGTCAAACTACAACTTACTGGGATGAAGGGTAGATGGCAAACGCAAATATTACGAAAGCTTGTGTGAGATGGCAAGAATTCTGTCCACAGATGAGAAATAAAGTCACTCGATATCGCGTAACACGTGCGAGGGGACCCACACTTTTACTTATTATTCTTGCCCTTTTATGTCATGTTTACCTGTGTACTGATTGTTTGATAAAAGTCTAAAAACCAAGTACACCAGACCACGTGTTCATTTCAGTTTAGTTCGCTTTTAGAACGGATGAGTTCATCACGTACACAATCTTACTTGGATCTTTGATTTGAATGCGTTCATGGTGTCTTAATAGTGCTTTCGGTTCAATAAGAAATTATTTGTGGCCAAGGTATTTATGTAGTCACTTCAATTTTGTGGGAGTTAAGGTTTCTTTCTTCACGGTGCATACGATTAGATCCTTGTACGTGAAGAAGAATCCGCAGTTATCGCAAACAGTTACTCAACCACCTTTTGAGAGTTAGTTTCTCACAAATACTGGAAAGAAACAACTGTCCACTCGAATTTGCGTATGGTTAATTTCGAGTATGCAGTCGACATGTATCTGCAGGTACCGAAATCCGTCCAAATAATGAAGGTAAGTTTCGCACAGGCTTACAACAGAACTAAGCGGATAATTACCATTTCTGTCGAAGCACTTGGGATGCACTAAGTTCTTATATTCAGGACATATTTCATCACCTGTACAATACTCAGATACCGACCGAAACATTGAGGTCCCAAGTGGTAGCTTCATAACTCCTCCTCTAGATCTTCTAAGTGGAGATGACACAAGTATATAGAGTTTGACAACACTTTAACCGTTAAGAACTATAACTGAAACGTGCCAACCCAGTGACTTCAGAAGAGAAGTTCGAAGAAATATTTGCTATGCTGTCGATAGATGGTGAGGTGACAGAACTAAGCTGGCTAGAGATGTGGAGTTCAGGGTACTCACTCCTGATCTGTGAACATCATAACAAGCTGAGTCCGTCATCAATATCTTTTCAATATGACAAATAACAACAATGGAAGCCCAGAGGAATAAACTTTTAAACCAAACCAGAAACAGATGAACGTGGAACTACTAATTTGAATTCACGAAGAGAAAAAAACGTTCTTTATTTTAAAATAATGACGAGTAAACATTATGTTTCAAATAGAGCGAGGTAAATAAAACGTATACCAAAACCGATCAAGATAATCAGTTATTAAAAAATGATTAGGATATACGAAGCGATTCGAGTGTTGGTGTTCGCTTCAACCCCGATTGAAAGAGCAAGATAACGCATAAACTAACCAACACGTTCCCGTAGAAAAAAACCCTAGTAAAATACATTAACCACAACAAACAGTTTAAACTCCGAGTTTAGCGATCTCCATTCAGAAGAATCATGACACCTCGTGGTGAATGCCGAAATTCTCAAGAAATCACGGGGATGATGTCCCTTTTAACAATCACAGCAACAATTAATATAAGTACACGGAATATCCGGACAATGTGAAAGACCGGTTAGAACCAGTCAAATAGCTACGGAAATAAGGCGATACAAATTGTCGGTGCTCGGAATCAGTGAAACACACTAGACCCAAGCTGGAAAGAAGAGATTATATTCAGTAGCGATGCTGCTGTAATCTAGTCACGGGCAACAAAATGTTCTGCACACACAAGGAGTTATACTGATACAGTTCAAAGAAGCACGAAAAGCACTTGTGGGATGGAAATATCATGCATCCAGAATCATCAAAGCATACTTCAAACACAAAGAAGGAAATCACAATGAATGTTATCCAATATTATGCACCCACCAATTAAAGCATCGACGACGATGAAGATCAGTCTCATGCGAGGCTGCAAACCATTGTTAAGGCGTACCCAAGAAAGGGCCTGACCATTCAAATGGGAGACTTAAACGCCCAAGTCGGAATGGACAACACCAGATATGAAGATAACATGGACTGACTGAGAGGAAGGGACGAGAATGGTGAGGGATTCGCAAATTTATATGCATTCAACAAAATGATTATTGATGGTACTATACTTCCTCATAAACACACACAAAGCTACAAGCCTTCCACCGGATCACACTACGCAGAACCAGATTGATCGTATTTACATCACTAAAATATTCAGAAGGCCAATGGAAGACGTGAGAAGCAGGATAGGAACTGGCATAGATTCAAATCGCCATTTGCATGGTGGTTGCCAAGATGAAACTGAAGCCAAGCAAGCACTCGACAATCGGAGAAACAACATTACACAGGTTTAATACAGAAATCCTTCAACACTCTGACAAAGTCAAGGTGTTTAGTATAGCTCTGAACACTCCACCAATAGTCGAAGAAATCAGGATGGTCACTAGACAAATCAAGAGTGGGAAGACTGAAAGACCAGACAACATACCAGTTGAAGCACCGAACTCGGACATTGAAATGACTGAAAAGACGCTCCACGTTCTATTCAGAAAGACATCATCAAGTCAGAATATTCAATATGAACGTGAAGACAGTCCTACTGTATGGAGCTGAAACGTAGAGAACTACTACAATCATCATCAACAAGGTACAAGTATTTACAAATAGTTGTCTGCGCAAGATACTTAACACCCATTGGCCGGATACCATCAGCAACAGCCTACTGTGGGAGAGAACAAACCAGCTTCCAGCTGAAGAGGAAATTAAGGAAATACATGGGTAGTAGGTAGGACATAAATTGTGGAAACCACCAAAATTCATGAAGAGACAATCGCTAACTTGTAATTTCGAAGGGAAACGGGAAAGAGGAAGGCCAAAGAACACACTGCGTCTAGAATTATAAGCAGACATCACAAGGATGGATAACTGGAAACAACTGGAAAGGATTGCCCAGGACAGAGGTCTATGGAGAATGGTCGTTGGTGGCCTTTGATCTTCATTCGGCATTTCGTGGTCTTTCTGTTTAATAATTGAGGTACGTCCGAGCTACATTTCCCTTAACATGTGATAAACTCGTTCAATGATTTAGACAGCAGTTGATTTAAGAGTCCATTCATGTAACAGATGATTCATTTATTTCTTTGATTCCCGGTCGATCAGATTTTTTTTACAAATTCTTGAAATACGTGTATTTTTAACACAATCTGTACTTCACTTCTGATATCTTATAATTCAAACGGACCAAAAAATTAAGTACGCATTGACTTTGGAATAATGTTGATTCACTACTACAAATTGTCTTTGAACCTGAACATACACTAAATCAGAAGAATCATACCAGTTGTTGTATGTTCGACGAGAGCGAAGGCAAACACGAGCACAATTGTCGGGACTGTATGGCTCAGCCAATTATATCTAAATGTGGCCAAATACGCTACCATACTTTCCTAAATCTGAATCTCACAGGCGATCATACT